GGCAAGGAGGGGTCGCATGAGGGAAAGGCTTTTCTGAGCAAGCTTCGGGCAACAACTCCATCTCGAATTTCAGGAACTCTGTCACAGCCTTAACTTTCGAGTAAATTCGTGCTGTTGCAGAACGAAACGCAATGAGTGGGCCGTCGCTCCCTCTCTCCCAACGAGTAAGGCGGGCGTAAGAAGCTGTGCGGCCTGGTTGGGGAACAACCTAGACCCTTATCTGGACCCTTGGAGGGATGGCAACAAGTGTTCTGGCCTCGAATAAAATAGAATCATGGAGACCTGCGGGATCACGGAGTAGTGTTCGATAGCAGTGCCGCGCCCAGAGGACGAACCTTGACTAATAACAAATACTGCTATGAATAGGACCAGAGAAAATGGGACGAGGGGTGGACAAGCGCGAAAGACGACAACCTACCGACGAGCATTGGGCTGTTCGGTTGTGGGAGCGGGACACAAACAATCAATTTGGGTCGATTTTCCACTACCTTCCCCGCCGCAACTACCGGCGACTAGGGCAAGGGCGAACCCACGTCACACTTTGATGAATTACGTCTTCGGTAGCGTACCTCAGTACGGCAACGCAACCGGTACAAGGGGAGGCATCTCGGCCATGGATAACTTCTTGTGAGTCATGCTGGATAAATCCGTCCCTTAGAACTCACGACTGCCCTGTAAAGGTTCACCTACATTAGAAGTCCATGCTCCGGCGCCACGGAAGCGGACGGCAGTGAGCAGGGCGGCCAGCGCCCAACAAGATACCATGGCCTGCGTTAGGAATCAACAACAGCCGCGTGAACAATTGGAAGAACGACAGATGATGCGCCCTCGTGCCCAAGACGTAGCAATTCGGATGGAGGACACAAAGCTTGGACATGTTTTAGAGCGCGCCTGATGATACGGATCCATACGTATGATGGTTATGTTGTGAATCGCAACTGCTCTGCCGTACGCAGCTAATGGGATTAGGAAAGGTAGGGCCCGCGAACGAGCGGAAGAGACTGGGATTCGAACAAGGTCTGCTTTTCACGCAAGGATCTGCTGAGCATGAACTGCTTGAAAACTGTAACTCTCTATCCCGACCCCAAAATGGTCTCAACGGAACAACTACATAGACACGGGGGCTATTCCCAGAGGATCTTTGCAAGAGGGAGGAATGGGTGCGTCCGTGACGGACCTTCCCCGTCGTTTAAGATCGACGCAGATAGCGATATTGCTTGATGTTTGTAATTGATGAGAGTCGACGTGGCCGTCGGTCCCGTCAGCAGCTCGGTAGCAGAAGCCATGGGACAAGGTACTCATCGCCCATCGTTGGTTTGAAAATCATGCATACGTTCAGCGTCAAGCTTGCCGTCGCCCGGCCCACAACACCCACGCAACGACCAGCGGTTTGGCCCACTCCCTCCTGGGCAAATGTACAGTCAGTGGCTCTACAGGCTCTGTGTGGTATCCGTCCCTATCTCTGTCTCTGTTCCGCTGCTCTCTCTCCCCCCATATTTTTCTCTCTGTGAGTGGCTCTGTTGCCTTTTTCACGCATCCGCGATGAGAGCGGAATATTGTCGTGCTCATGCCTAACGAGGTTGACTGTGACGCAACCACGAAGAGTCTAGGGCTGAAACTTAGGAGAGGGACTTAACGGCGATCATGGCACCAAGCCGAGCGTCTCCTATGTACCTGGAGTACATATGTATAATGAATGGTTGACTTCATTTTTCTGTCTGGGCGTCTTTTGCTCGCCGATTTTTTCCATGTTTCTTCGGTTGACGACAACCGGTTTTCGGTTCGGGAGCGGACTTGTGTTTGTCCGACTTCGAGAGATTCCCTGTGCCTTTTTGCCTGCGTCCGTCCTTGGATTACCGTCAGCCGGACGTGGTTGTCCCTCTGTTTGTTGTTTTGCATTCCTAGCGTAGGTCCGGCTTAGATGGGGTGGGCGGCCGATCACGCCCAGACCTAGGGGAGAAAAAACCTAGGTACTTTATTTGGCACGTGGTACAAGCTTCCATAAGCGGACGCCGATATTTTGACCTCCGTGGAAGGTTCACACGATTCCATGGACGTAGATACGACTCCCATGGAAGCCGTTCAACTTCCTCGGAAGTTGAGAAGTTTCCGTTGAAGCGCACGGTTGTTCTTCCGTGCAAGTCCCATCTATATCTTCCACGAAAGTGCGAAGGGCTTCCATGAAAGTCTTGACTTCAAAAAAAATTTTGTCCGTCCAACACCTCCCCAAAACCGTAAGATAAGGTGCTTCCATGAAAGCAAGGCAGCTTCCATGAAAGCAACTTTCATGGAAGCTCGACAACAAAGCAACTGCCACGAAGTGGTCGTCAGGGCTGGCAGGCAACCTCCATGGAAGCTTGAAACCTTCCATGAAACCAACGTCAAGCGCAGCTAACCCTGAACCTAACCCACACCCAACTGACCCTATCCCTATCTTGTCGCTCAATGTTGTCCTGAAACTGGACTCAGGTGATATACTTCCATGGAAGTTGTGCCATACAGCTTCCATGAAAAATCAAAACCTCTACTTCGATGGAAGCTTCCCGAAGGTGGGCGACCTCCATGGAAATTGGTGGAATTGAGCCCCATGGAAGTTCACTAAACGACGTCCATGGTAGCGTCGATTTCCACAAACTTCCATGAAATTTTAGCTTCCATGGAAGCCACATTCAACCAACTTCCATGGAAGCGGTATTGACTTCCATTATCATATGCCATGTAAGCTACAAGCATTTGTCACAAATTTTCTGCAGAAGATCGCAACTGGGGAAGATCGAAAATGATGGGGCGGGGGGCCGAGACAGGCCGAGAAACTAGCGGTGATAGCATTGCACACGCAGTACCCAAAGGTTGAACACAATCACCTTGAGAGATTCCAAAAGTGTACGAGTTGATGCTGTTGACGGCAGTACCGACTGCACACGCCATCGACATTCCATTTCTTACCCTTCCAGACCCGCTCTTTCGAGTATGTGGCCATACGCTCTTGCAATCGTGAATAAAGTACATCATCACAGCCGAGCATCTGCGGTGAGCAAACCAATGCTGAAATATTTTCATGTCTTGTTTTTTCTGTCATGTCTAAACTCATACAGTATCGTGGGTGGGGTCATCGGTACCGTCGGTTCTTCCGATACCGCACGCCCCATGTTGTTGCCGGTATTTACCGGTCTACCCGTAAACTGGGCAAGACAATGAACTTTCTTTCCAGGGAACGGTCTGCAGCTTGCACGGAAGCCCACAACCCGTACACTGGAAGCGACCCTCCACTGGCGGTATCCTTATCGGGGGCCAGGGGATTTCTTTGGGGGGAGCTGGCATCGCTTTTACGCTAAATCAGCCCTAAGCGAAGCACCTCGTCGCACGCGAAGCGTAGACCCGCATAAATCCCCACGTGCACACTGAATTTACATGACGCAGCAGTATATTTTCCTCCCCGAACATTTCTGTGTGGACCCGCAAATGATAACCACCTTTTGGTGGGGAGCACACGTCACTGCCGTTACCAACTCGATTCTACCGCGATCCCTCACGCGGAAGCGCGCATATGGTTGCATGTCTCACCTCTTGAGCTTGCGGCTTTTCAGCGGCCGTTCTTCCTCAGTACGTGGGGCCTAGGGGTCTAGGCGCCTTTTGAGTCGAATGTATATTGCACCGCCTGTGCTCCTCCTTTGCTCTCTATAGCACCACCACCAGCCTACGTGCGTGCTGCATTTGCTGCTGCCGCCACTTATCGTGCGAAAGAGTAGTGGGAGAAAGAGACAGACCGGCAGAATGTAGATGTGCCGGCGGCCTTCATCTTGCAATGCCTTGCATGCACAAGCATATCGTCCATCACAGGTACCAGCTCACCACCATTGCTTCTGGTCTGCTGATGATGGATCTACGACCGCAGGTGCGTCCGATCTACCGAAAAGCCAACTATTGACTTCTACCGCAGTCCCTTAGCTCCCAAAAAAATGTACGAATCCAGGGTAAGCAAGTGACATATCATACTCCCATATACCCTTGACGGGCCGAAACACCTCATACTTTTAGTCTGAGGGGAAACAATCTCTCCCAAGCTCAAGCCCATGTGCAGTGTGTCCTGCTCAACATGTATGTATGCTATAGTCTACGCAACTTGAATAGCGCTCCTGATCGGAAGGTTTTGTCGGGGGTAGGTTCGGGCGATCTCGACATTCATTGCGCAACAATTTTGATGTTTGATGCGGAGAGAGGGGTGGGTTGTTCGATGTTCGTTCGTTTTCGGCGCAGATATTGTAGATGGTGGCCGTTCCGCTGTACATGGTTGATGCCGTTCGTTTTTCGGTGGTACGGTTCGCTTTTGAGTGCTAAACCACTCGACACTCGACATTCGAACAACGACGGGTACTCTTTCGGCGTTTTTGTACTCTTCTCACAGAACACACTCTATCCGCACGTCCGGGAGAACTTTGCAATTGACTCAGACCATTGCAGTTAGAAAGCGGGTGTTGTACGATTCCCAAAGAAGCATGCAACGATATACCCCTCGTCCCTGTGTATGTAGAAAAAAGCTCAACACAACCGATTGGTGGCAATCTTGTCTAATGTTACTAGACCATGCTTTGTGCTGACGAGGTGTAGAAGAAAGACGTTTGGAAGAATTTTGGTGTTCGGGCGTCCTTTATGCTGCGACCTTGCGGAGAGAGCCGATGAAGCGGTGCAACTTGTGCCGTTTCGGTGCAATCTACGCCGCATCTCCGCATCTCCATCAAGATCTCCATGGCGGCGAATCGAGACGATACAATCAACTGTCAACCGCCATTAATGCTTGCCACGCCAGCGCACCCGGACGACAAGCATTGCGATCACGACAACACACCTCTCAAGCAACCACCCCAAGCGAAGCCCCACACTTCGTGGTTTTCTTCCGGAAAAAAGCTACTTCAGTTCATTCGTGTGCCGCCGTGTGGGAGACGCTGAAGACACACAGGGCGATCACCATGAGACTCCGGTCACTCTTAGCTCTAACGCTCATGGGGCAGCGCCACCTGGCGGGCGTGCTGGTAGCGGCGGATGACGTCAAGGTCGATCTTCGGCCCTGCCTCATTACCAAGGCAGCGATTGTAAGTGCGTATTCGTGTGGTTTGTCACTCTCACCTATCGGTTCTGAGCGCGCGGTTGCCTGCGTTGTCATAGAATCTGCAGGCTGACTCTCAGTCCTGGACGTGACAACGCCGAATCTGTACACCATTCCCCCTTCTGGTGTGGATGTTCGCCTTCTCGTTTCCGCCCAAAACACCACTCGACGCCGAGCAGAAGAGCGCACGAACATGACGAAAACAACACGCTCCGTGCTCTTTCCTTGACATGCGACGACCATTACACACCCGCGACTATGGGTGTACACAACACAGGGTACACAACACACAACGCATCGCGAACGTATTGCAGAAGTACACATCATGCACTCAAACACCTCTCTCGGGGAAACTCGGATAAAAAACAGGTACAATACATATCTATGTTTGTCAACATATAACTATCCTTAGATAATGGATGGAGGTTAGAAGTTAACTTGTTCTCTGCCGGTCTTCGGGTTCATCCATCGCCAGAGTGATCGTTGCTCTTGCGATGGAGACAAATATCTCGGTAACCTGTGGCAGGAGATATGCAGCGTATGTCTTTGGTTTCCAATTTGAGCGCTTGCTTACCCGCTAAAAAATGAGCCGAAAATGTTCCGAAGAAAGCAGCATCTGGTACTCCAAGCTCTAGGCAAGTCTCACCATCACCCTACGAATCCTCTCGTTGAACCCCCTTTCACTCGAGAATACAGGAACAGGACGTGTCGACGGTCTCGGAAGCGTATCTTTTGAGCGAGCTCTTCAAGGGTTTCTGGGCCGCATCTCAGGTGTGTTCAGTACCTTAAGCCCTCATCGCTCTCAATGCATCATCTATGGGGATGCACCGCTGTTGTTGCCAATCAACACCGTCAACAATATTGCGGTGAGTACAACATCGTTGCTGGAGCAGACCGCACATACATTCATGTGCAAAAAATCTTTCCCACCTCCGTCCTATAGAGTCTTGCTGTTTTATCATGGACAGCATGCAGATGTCGTTTTTACCGCTGCCGTGGCGTAGCACGATGTGCTCCATCGTCTTGTTCCATTTTCACTTTTATGCGGCACATGACCTCTACTACAGTATATACAAGCAGACGGCAGAGAGCCTTCGCATTGGACGACTCGCAGTGTCGTTGTTTAAAGACCATAGTCTACATCTATATGCTGACGCCCGTCACTGACAACGACAACGGACATGACCCTTCGCAGCACGTTATTATTGACACGGGAGACGGCGACTTCGATCTTCTCATCGACGGCGATGAGAACCACGGCAAGTGCAGCGCGATCTTTGTCGGGTCCCAGCCTTCCGTCGGGGAGGACGGTGTGACCGGGCAATATGAACAACTGTTGGCGTACTCGGCGAAGTTTCAGGTGGGGAGAGAAACCCATGCTCCATACCGTAGCACACCAGTCTGAAAGATTAACAGAAGTATTCAATAGCCCGCCTCTTTTTCAAGATGTCCAACACCACGTAATGACATATAGTCAGAACGAACCAACCTAGTTGCGCTGGCAACCATAGTTATGCTGGCTGCGCCAGAAAATCACTCTATTGGCTTTCTTCATGGTTGACCCAATACAAAAAATGTCGATGCGACGGTCGCAGACAAAGCGAGGACCACAACTTGACGGTTCCGCTTAGCATACCTTGTTCGTGTGCTTCGCTGCTGTTCCACAACTTCATCCCCTTTTCAAAATCATGTTTGTCTCAGTGAAAACTGGGTCCCCGTGCTCCCACCCACCCCTGACCACTTGCTTCCTTAAAATCATGCAACTCTTGCGCGCCTTTAAGGTCCGTGTGGTGTTCTTCGACAACGCCGAGACGGCCGATTTGCCCACCATCACAACCAAGATCGGGATTCAGCAACACTTCTCGGACACTTTGCTCGCAGCGGCAGGCATCAGGCTGGCAGGTGGCTGTATTTGGTATTTTGATCGCTGTCTCTGCCCCTTTTCTCCTCTCCGATCTTGTGAATGTATTGCTCAAATGCTCGATTATTTCGTGCCCTCTTGAACTGTCTTGTGGTCCCGTAGATCGTATTGCCCCCGAACTGCCACCATCCTCTCACCGTTCTGTCGTGGGTTTGGAGAGAGAGCACCATTTGAAGTTCGTGAAGAAAATACTGTTGGAAAGGGTGTGCCTGCCTGCGTTCAAGATGGACCCTGGATATTTTCGGACGCGAACAATTTCCCTCTGTAACTCTCCTTTGACGGAGTGTTTAGTCCGTTCGTGGAACTTTCGTATTGATTGGTGGGAAGCGCAGGTCATCTTGCCTTCCCGTGGCAAGACCAGCTTGGCCTCTGTAGAAAAAACGAACCTCCACGTTTCGTAGCTCACGTGGTCCGATTGCGAAACATTCCCCGCGCGCGACACACACCCAACCACAGACTCGGATGCACGAGTGGTGAACCCAGCGCTTCAAACAGACCCTGCAGAGATTTATTACCGCCCTGTGAGGGTATCGGGTGACCCTACAGGCGGCGAGCGCACCATCGTCGCAGAGTGAGTCACAGATGTAATGCGTCACCACAAATCATGTAGGTGCTGGAAACGCGCTTGCCCCGGGTCTCATCCCTGAGTAACATGAGTCCCCAAAACTCTACTCTGGATGGATCATGCTTTACAATCCTTTTCTCACATTTCCCGCACCGAGACCTCGCCATGAGTAGACGACGTGAGCGTAGAAAAAATTGTGCAGCAGTTCCATCAGGTTCCCCATACTAACTGGTTCTTCTTTTGTTATTGTTTCGTTCGCACAAAGCACCTACCGTTTTCGTTCGACGATATCTCTCTATGCATGAAATGGCCTTGTGTGCTCTCCTCCCTTCGGTACAACCAAACCTCAGCCTCGTCGATAGCGATGGGCAGTCCATCAGCGATACGGACGGCATCTGGGACCCCAGCAGTACTATGGAAACCCCGGGCGCCTCGATGGCCGCGGTCACGTTCAATGGCGAAGACGGGTCCGAGGAGATGCACGTGTTCTTCGCCATGGCCTGGTTCCATATGGAGTCGTGGGCGTGGGCGCACTATATCATGGAGTGGACCACTCAGGGGGTTTTCCAGGTGCATGTAGATTGTTTTCGGCGTTTGCTGCGGGTGGTACATGCACCTGTTGACATGCACTGCCGTTTGTGTGTGAGAAGTTTGGAGACGTATTGGATTAGCGGGATTGATGTTCACATCTGTCCTTGATTCTCTTCGTTATTCATGGAGGACATGGTAGCGTCGAACGAGGTCTCCCTTCGTTCCTGACATTGTTCTTCCATCTGTCTAACAATTCATGTTGCCGTCCCCTCTTTCCTAGGGCGAGCGCCGCTTCTGGCTTGGCGCGATGGTTGACGACCACTTCCTCGGAACGAATCCTTTCGTGTACGACGGCGATTCAAATGCGAGCGATGAAGTGAGGAACCTCCGTCATCTTGTTGTTGTTGATCTTCGTGGTATCGTATTCGTTTGGTTTAAGCGTTGCTCACGAGCTCCGATCTGATACAGTGCATGCCAACAACGTGTGACTTCGGGTTGGGGTTTTCACTCACCATTCTGGTAGACTCGAATCGGATGCTTGTGTATATGTGGGTAGCACAAGAAGGACAATCAAAATGAAGCGGTGATGAAGCAGCCACAGTTCGCACGCTGGGGGCAATGACACCCCTAACATGTACAACTGTGTCTTTCTCGCCGCAAGTAATCTGCCCCAACGCAGGCCTAGTTTCAGTCATGATCATGTCTTCACTCGTCGTGCATTGAATGAACCCCCGTGGAAAGCACGACATCTTACCCGTGTGCAAGGTGGTTGTCGGGGGTAAATCTCGTGTTCGTAATGAGCGCCACACGCTTCATGACACTTTCCTAGTGCAATATCTATGCGAGAAGGCTTTTCTAGACTACGATATCGCGGAGAATGAAAACGAGATGTGAGGCTCGGCAAAAAGAGCGTTTCACTTCACTAATTGTTGCGAAATCGGGCGAACGCTCGCAGGAAGAGCGGATCTCGGGCGAGGAGCTCGAGGACTTCCTCAGTGCTACGGAAGCACTGAACAAACTCTACAACGCCGAGATCATCACCGAGTTCCCCTTCAACGCCCTCGGCATCCTCGAAAAGGTGACGTCTTCATCTCAAGGGAAGACACTGGAACTGGAACTATTGCAGAATATTCACATTCTTCTTCGTTCGTTTTATTGCGAACCAGGCAAAACGAATGAGTGAATGACTAATGACTTGACAGCCAGCATGCCACGATTCACATGCCTTCTCCGGAGACGGCAGGCATTACGTCGACAGCGCCTAACCTCAACACGGAATCATGTCCTGTCTTGTTCCGGACTCGAGCGAGTGAACCTTAACAGATTGTTCGAATCATTGCCTCGTACATGCAACTCTCGTTTCGCCGCCCAAGGCGGAAACGGAGTACACGTTTACCTTTGAAGATGCTGACGCGGCGTTGCTGGCTAAGGGAGAGCTCCCCGTAGACAACGACGACGGTGAGCGACACGAATGTTGGTGCCCGTCGCCAAGGCCCGACCGAAGCAGCTCTTCAGCAGCACAGGGACACGTCGAAAAACTCCTATAGCTCCCAACCAATACCTCCGTGATTTTCTTAGCAAGCTCGCTGACGACTTTCTCTGTAGCATCCGATAACTGTAGAGAATGCTGGTCGGGACATATCTTGTGTTTTTTTGGCAGCCACCACATACTCAATGGAACTGTACCATTTTAAGGAACACCTTACCAAATACGCCATGCGGTAAAATTATAGAGCAATTTTATTTTCTGTGGCCGATTTTACTTATCCATAGCTCACTCTCGACGTTGCGGGGCAAGTCCTGTGTATGAGATCGATTAGTGTGGCCCTCGCGCGCTTCGGTTGACACTCGGTTTTTCCTACTTCAGGCACGGTCGGACTTGCGCCGACGAAAACACCCGAAGACTGGTTCAACACGGTCACGATGGAGGGCCTAACGGCAGAGTTCGATTCTTGGAAGGAGAAAGACGACCTCTTGCAGGCATCACTGGACATGAAAGAAGATTTCTTCTGGCACAGCCACACCCTTTCGCACCAGGCTAGAGACAACCTCGGCCAGGTCGACTGCGAGTCTGAGGACGGTGGTAAGAACAACGCGCATCAAACCCAGGCGATGGGGGTGTACGTTTGGTAGACACAAAGGAGACGCTCGAACTAGGGACGAGATGAACTACAGTAGGTAAATTTCACTCTGATCCTTCTCCCTTGATGAAACCTCCTCCCCGTGAGCCCTTAACCTCTCGAAACAACCTCCCCGACCTCTTGGTTTCCCAGTCGTAACATGAGTCGAGACGAGATACCAGAATAACGGTAGGCGTGCGAAGTGGGTCGGCCGGTGCTCATGCTGGCGACCCCGGTGGGCACTAACCCCCAACGCTGATGGTCGCGCATGTTCTCGGCTGACGTCCCCTTGTCTGTGCTGATACTTGTCCCCCCATACACCACCCAAACGCGCGCTTCAGGGAACGCTCAAATCGCCGTCATCACGGGACTCTTCGACGCGGACACGTACGGATGGCGGAGCATGACTACGCCGGGCATCACCGGCCTCTACAACAAGAACTGCCTCAAGTCCGCAATGGACAACCTCATCACCTGTGCCCCCGGAGACAACACCTACATCGGAGCCCCCACGACCACCGTCAGTCTCATCTCGGAAGTTAGCCAGTTTCACTCCATTTACACGACCGAAGAAACCAACGGTAGGCAATACGGCACATGGAGAAACCGAATGTGATGTACGCGGATGAATTTACAGACAATCGTATGGGAGACAACATTCGAATGATTCTTGGATATTGTCTACCGTAGCCTGTGATCACAATATACCTCCCAATCCGCCGCTTTCCACGCCGTTCGCTTTTGAACCGAAAGGCCTCACTGGCTTCCAGATTGTACCGCGCTTCGCCACCTTCGTGTACTACAACTGCAGGACCTCAGACGTAAGTGTTTGACGACTACGGATGGAGGCATATTCTCGCGGAATCTTCTGCAAATGCGGACACTTGGCGTACGATGCACCTTCTGCTGTGACCCCATTAACCTCACACTATAGGCTAAGTGCTTTCGACGAGATGAACCTTGCGCCTGGAGCACACGAAAACTATCCCTGGGTCGCCTTTGGGCGGGTTAGGGTTAGGTTTGTATTCGCTCCCCTCCACTCGTGCCCCGCCTGTTGTTCTCCAAAATCTCCTCCGAAATAACAATAAACGCAGTGCCTCGTCTTGGAGAACTTGTTCATCCGCCGCACTGTTTGTGGCTGCACGGACGTCGACCCGGGCACCATAGACAACCTCAACCTCGAGGACATTGCGGTGCGTGGTCAGATGAATGCACAGTCAGACCTCGAGCAGTTTGTGTTGTGTTGTTCAAGAAGCGCCATCGCGGCGCAGGTTGGGTAACTGTTCCGCGGGAGCATAAACGATGGCTCTGGACAGACGACAGAAGAATACCACCCTGCCAAGAAATATACCAAGAGCATGGAATAGGGCACGTCCAACGCAAACACCTTGGTTGTTTGCCACAGTTCACGGTCTATGTGTAGAAAAGAGTATGGATCAAATCCACACCAACACCAGTTTTTTTGCGTTCGTGCAGCGTCGATCAACAAACTATTGTACTTTCCGTCCGTGGTTCCGTGTTCTGTTCGTTCGAAGAGCCCACCGTTTCGCTAGAAAAACACTCCAACATAGGTTTCCTACCATGCTTCCTCCTTTGTTGTGGTTTCCGTAGCCGCTTTGGCCTCCTCTGCTCTTCCACACATAATGATCTCCCTCTTCTCCGCCGCAACCGAACTTTGCAGGGCTGTGACTTCTCCGAGGACAGCCTGTGCCCCAACGGGCTCGAGGCCTTCGGGACGGCCGACGCTCTCTTCGACGTGGAAGCCGAAACCACCACTCGCTGGATTCTGAACGGTCGCAGGTGAACAAAGAGTCTGCCACCCCCGCGCATCCCCGCCCCCCGGCCGCCAGAGAACTTCAGACCACAGTTGTTGTTGTTGTTGTTGTTGTTGTTGTTGGTGTTGTTGTCTTCACATGAAAAATCGCTGCGGTCTCTACTCCAGACCTTCAAATGTCGGTACTGGTCCAACTGACTCGGGCGCCGTCCGTCGCCACATTCTCCGAGTACGCCAAAAACAACCCGAGAGTGATACGACCTTAAGGCTCCCGCCTTAGCAAGACAGGCCCCCCTCCCTTTTGCAAACGACAACGACAACAACTTTTTCGTGTATTTTTGCGGTGCAGGGACAAGTACATGTTCCACCAGGCGAACGTCGTCCCCACGTCGACCCCGCTGGGCGAGATGTCACTGCTGGAGTACTGGTACGAGGTCGTCCTGGAGAAGATGGCCCTCTACCTCAACCTGCAGGGAGACGACCCGTTCCCGGTCAAGGTATTGTATGTAGTCTACCGTACGCGGCGAAGGACTTCCCTCGGAAAGGGGGAGATTTGTTGCAGGACGGGTCTCCCACACTTTCGACGGTGTTGCTAAACCGTCCATGCGTGGATGCCCCATGGGTTGCCCAAGGGCAACACGTTGTGCCCATGGGCTGCTCATGGACAGACCACGGGCGACCCATGGGCTGCTCATGGACATACCACGGGCGACCCATGGGCTGCCCATGAGAAATGCACATGGGCAAGCCCATGGGCAGCCCATGGTTGGCGCTTCGTAGGCAGTTCATGAGCTGCCCATGAACCATGGGCAGCCCATGGACCGTCAATGAGTGCCCTTCTACTGGAACCAGTGTACTCCTAAGCAATACATTATCTGCTTTGGCAGGGGCATTATAACGACTAATAACCCTCACTCACGCTAAGCCCATACGATACGTGCTATTTAGGTTGGCGCTGGGTGGCCTAAGTTGATGTGCTGGTGGCTAACTGTTGGTTTGAAGTGCCCACGGTCGGTACTTCGTGGGCAGTTCATGGGCTACCCATGGGCCCACCGGCAGACAGCTCATGGGCAGCCCATGGATGCCCCATGGGCGGATTAGCAAGACTGTCAGTAGTGTGGGAGATTGTGCAGGGCCAGGCAAAAAAAAATTGTAAAGCAATCGAATTGTCATGCCAATGCTAGGGTATAATAAAGGTGACTGCGGGGTGGTCCCCGAACGAGAGAACGGGAGAAGTCGCACCTCGAGGGGACATATCGTTGGGTCTGCGCGGTACGGTCATACGTGGTACCCCTTCCCCCCTTCTTGAGCTCTTGAAGGAGAATCATTAGAAGAACAAAGGGAAACATGTCGTGTCGTTGTGGTGCATTATATTATTCCTGCGCTCTCTCTGGCCGGTCGAGACCCGCGCAACCCACTCCAAGAAAGTGCGTTCCGAAACCGGTTTTCGCGCCAGTCATTTTTTTCCATTCCCGCATCGTGTCGAGATCACAACGCATTGCGCGTGTGAGGCTGCTTCCCCCCGAGGTCCCCTACTCATTATAATCTAAACCCTGTCGCCGATTCGTGGGGCTTCGATGTTGGAATACCGTAAAATACAGCTAGCCCGCGATAAAGAAACGTCAGTTTGGTGTCGAGAGTCAATACTTCGTTTGTTGCCACCACCGTCGAGAACAGGTTACAACATAAATATACAAGTGTAAGATCCACGGCTAAGTAAGGTGTGTTTGTTCGTCGTTCCTTCTGGTTTTGTCGCCAAAATCTGAGCCTTTGGTTACGAAAGGTTTGTCTTTTCATGTGTTCGGTGTCGGTTTCACTTTTTTTCCCTTCGTGCAGTCCGTCAAGTTCGACGACCTCTGCACCAACTTCAAGCACCACGAGGACCTGGATGGCTCCAACGCGCTGGTGACCATCACCAAGACCTCCGACGGAGACATCTCGGGTATGGAGCTCAGCAACACTGGAGGCAGCGCCGGGGTCATCCCCGTCACGGTGCCGACGAGCTTTGCCGACAAGGTATGTATGTATGTATAACAGTAGCCCAGCGCCTTGACGATGTTTTCGTTCTCATCGTGTCGTTTGCCTCCTTCGCCATTTTGGCGGGGGGGGGCGGCGGAGTGATGTTGGATGTCGTCATCTCCGCACATAAATGTCTACGGCGGTGTCCGCGACTCAGCAATCTCGCCGTTTCCACGCTCGTTCGACGACTAACAGGAAAATATGTCAGCTTTTTAAGTGGAAAATGGTAGTAGCGGACATGGAACATGAAGAACAAGAATTGCGCAACAGCAAAGAAACGCGCATCATATCCAACAATAGTACATACCGTGGGTTGTCAATGATATTTATAAGGGAGGCAGGAAAGTAAAACGAAGCGCTCCCGTTGTTGCTGGGCACAGGTATCAACGGAGGGGCTCCCCGACGGACAGCCGTACTCCAAGGAGATCTACGGATCGGACTTGACATTCTACGTGGCGTCCAGCTCGGACGATGTTCCCCCCGCCGTGGTCAAGCCAACAGCTGCGTGAGTGAAACTCTTTTCTTCTTCTGGGCGTTGCGGTCTTTAACTCTTGAACATTCTGACGACCGATTCTCCCCCGACGGGTAGCCAGTGCCCCGGGCTGCACATTCGAGTTGAGCGATGTTGAGGAGGGACAAACAGTGGTGAGCGTACAGCGTGTGAAAGCTCTCGGGTGCGCCTCAGGCGGCCTCCTTCCACTTCTGTATGTTTATTAGATTCTATTCTCTGGTGGTGCGTGTAGCAACGTTGATGTCGACGCTTCGGTTCATGATGGTATACTGTAGGGAGGTACCGCCGCGAGCAAGGGTTGCTTATCGAGGGTGTGGAAACACGTACGTACGTGCACTGCACAGTGGCGCAACTACATGATAGCCTGAGATTTGATTGAACCGTGGAAAGGGCACAACGTTGCTTTCAGCCCTCCTACTTCGTACGTACATGATTATGGGACACCATTCGTACATATTTGTCATGACGGGTTCACAATGGTACGTGAAATGTCATGAGATATATCATGAAATATACGCACGCTCACATGGTACCCTCTCTCCCTGTTCGTACAACACGCCTACCTCCTGTCCTGCCTGCCCTGTCTGCCCTGCCGGCGCCCGACGCTGCACCTTACATTTTGCGTTACGATCACATCAACGCTGACCCGAACCTGATTGTCCTCTCCCTTCGCACCGCCTCCAACAACCGAAACCAATGCAGGGACCTCGCGGCCGTTCCGGCACCGGTTCTTGCTACCCTGGCGCCCACTCCCGCGCCTACTCCCGCGCCTACTCCCTCGCCCACCTCTGAGAGTGTTACGTGCTCCTGGTACACGATCCTGTGGTGCTGGTGGTGGAATTGGCTCTAGATCATATCCAACCGTCCGTGTGCAGACCTACTGGCGTTGCCATCGATAGGTCCCCTCTCGATCTTCGGCCGGTCGTGCGTATAGAGTGGTAATATAGAAGTTGTGCGTGGTGGTGGGGGGGCGCGGGGGGATGGTTTAAGGAAATACTGTACTTACGTGATATTAATAGCGATACTTGAAGTATTAATCTAAATAGAGGTCTTCTTCATGGCCCGCGAAACCCACCTGTTCGACGGAGCGTCAGAGACCCGCCAAAATGAAACCAAACAGCAGATGACGTCGTCGATCACGTAGTCGACTTACTTTGTCTGACAAATGCCTACCGGGGCTGCCTTACATGCACCGGCCAGGGCTGAGGCACCCAAAAGCAGGGCGGCGATCATTGCGACCGGCGGTGTGCAGTAGAATGAAGGTGTAAAGGAACAGCGGGGAAATAAATGTGGCCTCATGCGGATATTGATGTGGAATATGGCGCCTCCTTGCGGGGTCTTATCCCTCGCACAAAGCATCGGCCCTGCAACATGTTGAAGGGGTCTTGTCCCTCGCACAGAGCATCGGCGCTGCAACAAGTTGAAAATGATCCGTTAGAATGCAACTTTGCAGCTACCTAGCGCAAGTACCCACGCAAATGACTTGTTACTTTTTGTTGCCGTCGTCGTCGTCGTCGTGGTTGTCGTTGTCGTCGTCGTTGTGGTTGAGCTGTCGGTGTCGGTGCCGGTGTAGTGTCGGTGTCGTTGTTACTGTTGTTGAATTAACATATTAAATACTGCTATTAAAGTGCTCTTCTTGTTGTCTTAGGCTAAAGTGCATCTGTTCGTGGACCTCCAAGTGGTGTGCTGGCTTCGATCGGTGAACGACAATTGCGTTGGACATCACAATAGATTTATAATGCGATTTTTCGGACAGTTCGCGGAGAGGTTCGGAAGAACTCCCGAGATATAATATGTAGCCTGCAGTTGCCTTCCGCCAGAGACATCGACCACCTCATAGACGGAAGACGTGTGCCCGGCAGCGGGCGGCGGGGATTCAGGCCTTTCGACGATTGATTGATTCTGACGTGACGAAGCAACCGCCCGATGTGGCACATGTTCCAAGCAAGCTTGGCTGGGCATCACACCGAATCCTTCATTCAACGCCCGCCCACGAAACGGATGGTACTGACCCAAATTCAGTCTCCCATCGAACGTTTCATCGGGCACGCACAAAACAGATGGCATAGTCGAATCTATATCATTTCTCTTTTTTCATATCTATCTTGAAACGATACGACCTGTAGTAAGCACAACCACATCTCTGAACTACTGACCCGGGAGGCTATACACCCGCCCCGACCTTCACCGTACTTTCAACACAAAACGCACTACTACTACAGACTCCCGTCCGTCCGTGTGGCCTCACGTTTATGCTACCGCATACCACCTGCGTTCATTCTAAGCTTTCGCAGTTTGCGACACATTCGTTTTTTTGTTGGACGTTGTTGATACTGTAGACTGGGAACAAATGGCATTGATTGGGCGTCCACGCCCGCGGCAGCGTCCACCGACGGACTTCATGAACGTTTCGGCGGATGACGATCGAGAGGACGTGAACGTCCATGGACGTCTGTTGACGCGCGCATTTGGTACCAATGTCGACTATCGTATACCGCCCGCATGATATTCATTGCCTCTTCTTCGACATCGAACTCGGGAGACGGGGGAACGGAGAGACTTCGGATCACAACGCAAATCACCGTCAGCCTTCCGTTAGCCGTGTACAGTATAAGTACCTTTTTTCGTTCGGAAAGTTTCTCCGCAAGGACTACAAGTAGATCATTGCTGTCGCAACGAAATAGCAATCTGCCGGGATATATTTTGTATGGTGGGTGTCGGAGTCATGGGGTGAGGGGTCAAGCACGTCTCGGAGGGCACCCGATGTTCGGACGATCCGAACTGGGGTACAGTAGCTTGTCGCATAGACGTGTTTAAGGGCGCACTGGGGATCGCAGTACTTCCTCTTCAAAAAAACAGGAAACGCCTGGAAACGCCTGCATATATCGGTTTTCCAAAGTCTAACTCCAGTACGAAACTACCATAGTAAATTAACCGTCCGCAGGGGTCGCTTGTGTACAATGTTAGTAGCTGAGGTTGTACCCCTTGCGATACGCTGCAGACTAGCGGTCCGCGATTTTCCAAACGATCCTTCTATTCGAGTTCGGTGAGCTACAAGCTAGATTTTTGAAGCTACTGTGCGGTCCAATTTTGAAACGCTTCAAGCACACGGTGAACACGAATCACCGCCTAGATGTGAGTGTATGGGGCCGCGAACTTCAGTGCAGCTCTTCCCTCACATATCCAGCTGGTCGCCATTGTCGACTTGAATGCCTAGGGTCATGTATATGCATGTCCAGCCTTTAGGCAAAGGTGCTTGAAGCGTGTCAAAATTGGACCGCACAGCAGCTTCAAAAATCTAGCTTGTAGCTCACCGAACTCGACGATAGAAGGATCGTTTGGAAAATCGCGGACCGCTAGTCTGTAGTGTATCGAAAGGGCTACAATCTCAGCTGCTAACATTGTCCACAAGCGACCGCTGCGGACGGTTAATTTACGATGGTAGTTTCGTACTGCAGTTAGACTTTGGAAAACCGAGATATATATGCGTTTCCTGGATTTTTCAGAGGAGGTACTGCGATCCCCCCCGCGCCCTTAACAGGGTGGCGACAAGCTCGGCGGGCTCGCGCGGAGGAGACAGCTTATTTACTAATCTCGTCCCAACTCAAACGAGTCAGAAAGCGCGAAAGATCGACGGGATCACGCACCCAAGATCGAGGCGTCTCTTTGTAAGGTTCACCTACACTGAACATACATGCGTACCCTACAATCAGAGCCATTCGCATTACATTCGACCGCGGGACAACGGTCACAGAGGTCAACGGGACGTTTCACATGCCGTTGACGCTTTTGGTTATCCGTGCGTTCTCGTTTTTTCTCTTCTTTTCGTGAGGTGTGTTGGGGGTGGTGCAAGGTGGTGGGCAAAACGCTGGCAGGAAAATTCCAGCAACACTCGCTGCGACGACACGGAAAAATAAATTTCCGATCGCCCATACCTGACACGCGGAGAGCTGCTGTAGCCTGACGGTGTTTACGTGGTGCTCACATTCTAGTAGGTGTCGCGCACCCGTTTTTTGCTTTCGTAAGGTTAGGGGAGGAGCGCACACCGGTGCCCCAACAAAACCTAGGGAGCAGACGGCGCCCCGCACGATAAAGAATTCCTCCCACCCGCCCCGCTTTGTTCGTCACGTTGGCACAGCTCATTCACCCTTTCCCTCTGCGACGCGTCGCCGAAACAGCTCTTTAAAAAGCTTCGACCCTACTATTAAGTCTGATGACCGCATAGATAGCTGCCATCGAATCAAATCCGGCTTTTAATCGCCCCGCATCAAAACCTGGTGTGACTTTCCTCAACATCGACGGCGGTGGAATTCTCGAGGACTTTCGGCACGACATCCGAATATATTCCGGAGAACATACTCTCAGCTTGGTGAGAAAAAAAAAAGCGGTAGTATGCATAAGCATGTGATAAGCATACACACACGAGATGTGATAAATGAGTTAACGCGGTAATCATGTGCGGGGCCACAACGTTCATGGCCAGACCAAAAACAACGAGAATGTGTGACGAACGTATTGACACGTGCTGCTGCTTGTTGCCTGCCCCCAAGGAGCACGAAGGACCAATCGGCCAAACTATTTCCGCCGCGGCACAGCAGTATTTAACACTGTTTTGCTTTCCAAGTCCGGGAGTCCCCCTGAAGTCCCGATAACCACCAAGAAACACCACCCTGTCCCTATTAACGGATGGAGTCGCTTAATCGTGTCTGCGTCGGGGCACCCTCCAACAAGCCCCGATAACCTATGAAGCAGTAACCTAGCAGAAACACGAACCTGTGCCAATGAAAGAATGGAGATGCTTAATCATGCCCACAGGCGGCACGAAGGAGAAACGACCACAAAGTGCTACTAAAGTTCTGCTTGTTTCCCCCTCCAGCCGACCCGATTGAAGCCGCCCACCTCACTAACGCCAACATCGCCTTTCAGCCAGACTGCTACGACAGCTCGACGGTACACTACTAAACGCCAAAATCGCTGTCTGCTCGCTCTCTTCTCATGTCGCTAGCGCCTTCAGCGTGTTTAGCTCGTGAAGGAGGTGGTGAACTCGTCGCAGACGCTGGCGAGCTTCTGCTGCATGTCGTCGGTCAGCTCGTAGTTGGCGTTCTTGATGCCTTCCAAGATGTCCGACTGTGTTGTGATGGTTGGACGTCGTCACACACAACGGAGGAGGTCAGCTGAGTCAACACCATCATCGCGAAGCCAAAGAAAACCGTAGGGGTTTAGGCTGCACGCTGCGACTTCATCCAGAGGACCATTGAATCTCCTGCAACTTTGGGCAACAGCATCTTCTCCCAGCACTTGAAGCAGCATCGCATTAAATGCGAACTAAACTTGTCAATGCCACAACGGAGCAAGTTCGAGGTATACCACCGCACAAGCGCGCGGAACGAACATTTCCCGACCGTATGTATACGGGTGAATCAAACGGAGACGGGGGGATTGACGACAACACGCTACTCCTTTCGTCCTTCAACTCACCGAGTGAGAGGCCTTGATGTGGGCCAGCCACGCCTTCTCGTAAGCGGTAACCTTGTTCACGTCCACGCGGTCGATGAAGCCCTTCACGCCCGCGAACAGGATCACCACCTGTGTCCGGTTGAGAAACAACCAACCAACAACCACGCAAAATACCGAAACAAGAATCTAGTGAGCAAGACAAAACCCGACTTGTGGTCCAGTTGGGCTGTGCCTTCCACGCACTCCCATCCCCCACGAGTTACAACTTGCCCACACGCGGACATGCGAAGCAGCAGGGCAATGATTTGCCAGGGAACATACTTCTATAATACCCATGTCCCCGTGGATGCATACCCTCAACCCACGATGCGCAACAGTACGTAGTCTCCACGAAGACCGTTGGGTTGTCGTGGGTGGCAGCGGAAGGCCAATAATTGACACGTGGTGATCACAACAAGAAAAACAACACCCACATCATCAACACACTGACAACCGCAACAAGCAACAAGCCTGTTACCCACAGGGAGGAGAGCCATCACACTGCGTGCTGCTCGAGAAACCGTAGAAATACAACTTGGTCACCGTACGATACCATCAATTCGATGCTTATCTATTGTAGCCTATTTTCTAGGATAGAGATGCAATCGTTGTCAGATTAAGCAATATATATACCGCAACAACGACGACAGCAACACCCAAGCAACCGGAAAGCCAACATCCGCGACAGGCACCAAACACGAACAAATAAACCCACATCAACAATACGAACAACAACGGCACCCACACCAACACCAAAGCATCACCTGCTCCTCAACCTCGAGCGGCACGTACTGGTCCTGCTTCAGCAACTCGTACAGCCGCACCCCCCGGTTAAGCTGCTGCTGGGTAGAGGCGTCCAGGTCAGATCCGAACTTGGCGAATGCAGCGACCTCACGGTACTGCGCGAGCTCCAGCTTCATGGTACCGGCCACCTGCTTCATGCACTTGCGCTGTGCGGCGGACCCCACGCGGGACACCGAGAGACCCACAGAGATTGCGGGGCGCTGGCCCTGGTAGAACAGCTCGGACTCGAGGAAGATCTGGTGGGGGGTTCGGGGAGATGGAAAAAAAACGGGTGGGGGTGGGAGCGTTTTTGGGTGTGGCAACGACAACGTTGGGGAGGAGGGCATAAGGGAGGAGCAGCAGGACGAGTCTGGGAGGGGGGGGCGATGCTGGAAAGTCCTGCATGATCTCAACACGCAAGAGATGCGACCAGACCATTCGCGGGCAATAACACCCTTCCGAAAAGTCATGATAAGCATTGTTGATGTCACCAGAACAGCAACAGTTCCCTTATCGCCAGGGGTATGCATACATCCTAGCACACCGCACGCACAACACCAGCAAAACAAAAAAGAAAGAAAAAAAGACCAAATAATAACTCCGCACCTGTCCGTCCGTGATACTGATAACGTTGGTGGGGATGTACGCCGACACATCACCGGCCTGGGTCTCGATGATGGGCAGGGCGGTCAGCGAACCGTTGCCGGAGGCGTCGCCGAGCTTGGCGGCGCGCTCGAGCAGACGGGAGTGCAGGTAGAACACGTCTCCCGGGTAGGCCTCACGGCCGGGGGGACGGCGCAGCAGCAGAGACATCTGCCACAAAAAACGGGACACACACACACACACACACACGATTCGATCGTCCGGGGGAAGCGCGATTCGGAACGGAAATGAGGGGGTGCTATCGTATGCTCGATTATCGAGAGATGGGCAGTTGGCAAGGGAAATGGCCGTGTACTGTATTATCCTCGGGAAGAGCGTGGGAGAGGCTGCGTGGTTGGCAAAGGTTCGGAGTGGGGGGCGGGGCGGGAACTACCATCGTGCGTGAACCTTGCGAGGGGTACGCGGTTGGTCATTGGGGGTCGCGGGATACTTGATATTTTGCCACCCCAAGCCTGGCGAACAAGTCCTGCATGTGACGTGTCTTGCCGTGAAGATCTGTGTCCACGGCGCACAAGTTCCAGGTGCGAAAAGAGCAGCAGCAGCAGCAGCAGCAGCAGCAGATTCTACTCGATGCGATCGAAATAGGCAACGCTTGTCCTTGACGAACATGTGTTCATACCTGACGGTAGGCGACGGCCTGCTTGGAAAGGTCGTCGTAGAAGATGACGGCGTGCTTCCCGTTGTCGCGGAAGTACTCGCCGATCGCGGCTCCGGAGTAAGGTGCGAGGAACTGCAAAGACAACGACAACAACGACAACAACAAAAAGCAAAGAAAAAACAAATGTTACCATGGCACATACATATAGGGGAGTCAGGCCGACTCTTCTTACGGTCAACGAGAATTGGCCTGACGTAGATTGTCACAATTCTGCAAACGAAACCTTCAAAAGACAGACTTTAGGGTATTGGTACAAGACCCAGGTGGGGTCTTTGTATCTCAAAAGGTACAGCAATCAGACAGACTACTGAGAGATAGCACGCCAACTACCAAACAGTAGTACACTCCTGGTGACCGTCGTTCAAAAGACCCACCCGCCGTCACCGGGGGGGG